GCCACTGGTTGTGGTTTGAGTGGGAATTTGGTATGTTGGATGACTTTAATCGTGCAGTACAGAAGGTAAAAACTCCTGCGATAGTTCTATTCTGCTGTTTAGATACTGTTGTAGTTTCTCAAAGTAACAGCATGTATTATGCTATTTATTGGCCTTCAAATTTGTATAGATGTATTTCTCGGCAAAGGATGTGTGAATTACATGGACAGAGGTGCTGACCAAAAACAATAATAATAATAAAACAAATAAACAAGGAGTTTAATATATTAATTTTTTGAATATCTATGTCTTGGACTCATGGACAACTGTTTTGTATAACAGTTTACAGGGTTTTGTTTGGCTCAGAACTATGAAGATAATTGGTTTTGTGTTACATTGTTAGCCTTGAGTCTGTATTAATTTGTGTTTGAAGGAGTTGTGTCTTTGTCAACATCTGAAGAAAATTTGTTGGTGTCTGAAGCTTCTGTAGTTCTTGCTACGGTACTTAACCAATTCTAGTTTGCTTGACAAGAAAACAAAATGCTAGTTTAATTTGATGGATCAATTATCACCAACCTATATAGTGTTGATGTACCTCACTTTTACATTCTTTAAGTTCCCCACTTCCTCTTCCTTAGGTAAAGTATGATGTGCCTGCATAGAATTGTTGGTTTTCGTATTCCACTTTGCAGGTGTCCCCTCGTCTGGAATGGTTGAAAGTATTTAGGTTAGAACAGGAATCCATATCTCTGACTGGAACAACAGATCAGAGAGAACATAGCTTTAAGAAAACTGCCCCTGAAAAGAGGACGTCTGGTTCCAAGGCAACTGATGAACAATCTCCAGCTAAGCGGCAGAAAAATGATCCTCGAGACCCAAAGAAATTGAATCAGAATAGCAACTCCCAAGAACTGAATAAAACTGAAATAAATGAAGGGGATGAGACCAAAGACAAGGTTGATGAACCAGAAAATGAAAAACTGTTTAACGATCCTAGTGCTGCAGAAAACAAAGCGTATACAGATCAGTACACTGCATTCATATCAAATCTTAACTTGGAGGCAAGTAGAGAACTTATTTGGCCTTCCTTCTAGTTCAAACTCTCTCTTCTCTTTTTTATACCCCTTTTTCTTTCTTGCAAAACAGTGGGAGTCCATCATTTGTCTTCTTATTTTTATTATATGGCAGGCAAACTATGAAGATCTACAACAATTCTTCAGTGATGCTGGTGGGGTCTCTTCAATCAGTATTTTGCATGAAAAAATCACTGGAAAATCAAAGGTCTCTCTATTGCCTTTCTTCTTTTCTATTTCTGTTTCATTTGTCCTTTTAAAAAATATATATATATATTTATTGGTGGAGCCAACCTTTGTTTTCCTCTGCTTGTTACTTTTATGTTTCTACTCATGAATTTGGGTAATTCTGGCATTAACAATTGATTTATTAACAATGAGTTAGCTTGTATCATTAGGACTATTTCATTTTATTAGAGGTGATAAGATTAATAGAGTCTTCAGTTAATCGCTCACAACAGTGCTTGCATGACCACCCTCCAAGGAAAGCAAATATCGAACCCACAGTAGTCCAATCCAGGGGCAGTTCCTTGTGGCCCTGGAATAAACATCCCTCACAACACTGCCAAACTGAAAGTGAATATAAATAATAGAAGTAAATGAGGATGCTGGTTTTGAGTAAACTAAACAAACTCAAGCATTTATAGTGAGGGGAACCTTCAAAGTTTTATCTAGATAGCGAGTATAATCAAACCAGAGACTGCTTGATATAGGAAATTCAGTTATAACACGTTCATACAGAATCTGAACTCGAGCTGGATCTCCAGAAGACTGTTCAAATTTCAAGTAGCTCTACAACAAATAATCATAGTCCTTTTTCCATTCTGCGCTGGTTTGATTATACTCGCTATCTAGATAAAACTTTGAAGGTTCCCCTCACTATAAATGCTTGAGTTTGTTTAGTTTACTCAATACCAGCATCCTCATTTACTTCTATTATTTATTTTCACTTTCAGTTTGGCAGTGTTGTAGTGTTGTGAGGGATGTTTATTCCAGGGCCACAAGGAACTGCCCCTGGATTGGACTACTGTGGGTTCGATATTTGCTTTCCTTGGAGGGTGGTCATGCAAGCACTGTTGTGAGCGATTAACTGAAGACTCTTTTAATCTTATCACCTCTAATAAAATGAAATAGTCCCAATGATACAAGCTAACTCATTGTTAATAAATCAATTGTTAATGCCAGAATTACCCAAGTTCATGAGTAGAAACATAAAAGTAGCAAGCAGAGGAAAACAAAGGTTGGCTCTACCAATAAATATATATGTATTTTTTTTAAAAAAAGACAAATGAAACAGAAATAGAAAAGAAGAAAGGCAAATAGAGAGACCTTTGATTTTCCAGTGATTTTTTCATGCAAAATACTGATTGAAGAGACCCCACCAACATCACTGAAGAATTGACGTAGATATTCATAGTTTGCCTGCCACATAATAAAAATAAGAAGACAAATGAAGTCCCACTGTTTCGGAAGAAAGAAAAAGAGGTTTTGTGTTACATTGTTAGCCTTGAGTTTGTATTTTTCTTTCTTCCAAAATAGTGGGGTCATCAGTGACGGTAATCTGGGGTTTAAATGGAGAAATTTGGGGTTTTGGAGAACCCATGGATTGCAAAGCTTGGAAAATTTTGAAGCTGAACAGAAAAAAGCGTTCTTTGGAGGTAAAGATAGAGCGGTGAAACTGCTGGGAATACAAGGGACTTCATTCTCAAAATAGCTAGCATTGACCCCTTTTTTAGAGAAGGAGGATTAAAGCGTTGCTCTTGTTTACAGAGTGAAACTGAGAACGGGGTTACTGATAGTATAAAATTTTAGGGTTTAAGGGTCAGACTCTTGAGAGAAATTCAAAGTTGAGGAAAGGGGATACGGTTTAAGGGTTTTGCACGTAGATGGAGAGAGAATCTGACAAATCCTAGCATACAGAGCAAAGTTCGCAACTTGGTAGTAGAATTGAATCAATTGATGGACCAATGTATATGAGATTCATGATAGATAGTTAGGATGTCACTTTATAATTATAAGGTTATTGTGATGATGTGGTTCGTATGGTTAAATAAATATATAATGTGTTATTAAATAAATATATAAAAAATATTATAAATAAATTTTTAAAAAATATATATTAGTTTTGGTTTTTTAAAAATTAAAATTTTGATTTTAAAATGTATTATTTTATTTAATTAAATTTTAATTTAAAATTTAAAAATTTATTATATTAAGTATTAATATTTATATTTAAAAATTGATTAAATTTTTAAATTTTAAATTAAAATTTTAATTTTTAAATATAGATTAATATTTAAATTTTTTTCAAAAAGTTCAAATATAATATACATTAATTTCATAAATTTTAAATGAGTTTATAATATAATATATTATAATTCAAGGATGCCCAACTGCTCCAACCCTTTTTTAAAATGAAGGGCCGGTAAAAGCCATTTTCTTGTAATCCAAACATGTTTGGAAACCTAGAAGGTTAAATTTTTAATTTGGTCCCTCAACTATTTTATAATCATTTGATTTGGTCTTTGAACTTAAAAAATTTTTAATTTGATCCTTAAAGTTTGAGATTTTGATGCTTTTTGGTCCCTCTGTTAAGATTTTACTGATGTGGCATGTTAGTTGACGACAGAAGCATATCTTTTCAATAAATAAAATATGTAAAATATACAACATCACAAAATACATGACTTGGCAAAAAAAAAAAAAAAACTGTCTATATAATCCCCAAATATAATAAAATAATCATATTACCGTTGTTCTCAACCTTTAGATTCTTTCATTTTCTTTCTCTATCTCTCCTCTCGTAACACCAAATCTAAACCAATCAAATGAACATTTTCCCTTTTAATTTTTCTCTTTTGCTCAGGAACTAATCAAAAAATTAGAAAAAAGAAACGCATACTCAAAGATATGATGATTCTCCAACTTTAAAGAAGATTAAACAAAGATTAAAGAAGAAAACCAACAAAACCTAGACCCAAATCCCAAATCCAACAAAGATTAAAGAA